ATGACTGAGGTTAGTGTTGTGTTCACTTTTATAGAAGGGACTTGCAAGATAGAGATGGTTGACAAGATAAACAGAATACATGAGATAATTACAAAATTATTGAGATGAACATCAGATATGGTGGACATATTTAAGAGATTTCAGATATGGAGCAAGAACTTCAAATGGATTAGGACGAATTTACCTTAAAATTAAAAATTTTATTCAGTTTAAAAATATTTAAGAGATTTCAAGTTCACATCCTCCTGTTTGAAAAGAGAAATGTTAGTTCTCATCCTCATCCTGCAATGTTTCACGATGATAAAATCATCAATTTTCGTTGTTCTTTAAAGATTAATTCTCTCAAAAATCAATCAAATTCAAAATTGTTTTGCCATCTAACGATTATCTAATAAATACACAAACCATGGTATTTAGATTAAAAAAAACAAAAATTTGACTTCTTTTTGGTTGATTCTTTAAAAGGTGAATTTTAGTAAGTAAAGATTTTTAAATTAAACTGCTTTCGGAATACAATCATGACTTCTTTTTTTTTATGGTCAAATAAAACACACTTTTTTTTTTGTCAAATAAAATCATAATATTTTTTTGAAAACATATTAAATTATCAAACGTCCTCATCATTCAAAACTGACTTAAAGGTGGTCTGAATTTCAACTGGTCGGATTTGTCTAACTCAAGGCCCACTCTTAATTGTGGTCGTATTATTTAGGCAATTATCGTTGGGAGATTAGTAATGTGGGCAGCTTACCAAACACATTGAATTGGGTGGGTTGTATGATAGCTACTTTAGTTTACTACTGTGTTTAAGAATGCGTAAATTTTAATAAAGACTTGAATATCAGTCTATCGTTATACGCGATATTTTCTTTACACTAAGTAATACTGAGTGGTTTGAAAAAAACTAATTGTTAGATTTTATATATAGTGATTTAATGAATTTTTACAACGGTCAAATCCAGCATAAAATTCATACCATTAAGTAGGATGTAGCATCTATTGAAATATCTCACATTGATCGTATCTTTAAGAAAATAAGAGTTTAAATATTCACATTCCCACTCATACTAAGACCTTTTGTGATAAAACCTCACATCTAATGGATTGTGTAGTTGGCAATTACAAAGTAAGGGACAATATCGGTATTGTTAGAGTGGGTCTTAGGCCCATCTCTTTGATAATTTCATATGGCATCAGAACCAGGGAGCGGCTCTGTATTGGCACGCGATGGGTGGGTCCTCTTGGCTCTGCGCGATGATGATGGGTCCATTGGCCCTGCTTGTAGGGTAAGTTTCTTTGGCTCCGCGAGGCTTGGCTTCTTTTCTTTATGTCCCACATGAAGGAGTGTATTGAAATATCCCACATCGATCATATCTCCGACAAAAGAAGAGTTTAAATATTTTAACCACACTCCAACTAATACCGAGACCTTTTGTGATAAAATTTCACACCTGATAGATTGTGCAGTTGATAATTATCAAGTTGAGAACAATATATCGGTGTTGTTGGAGTAGACCTTAGGCCCGTCTCTCTGATAATTTTAGAGCATCAGAGCTGGACCTTTTTATACAGCAAAGAAAAAAAAAAATACTTGAAATAAACTTGCAATATTAACTCTTCTTTTTCTGATAAACTATAGTTGGATAAGTTGACATAAACTTTTCTTTTTCTGATGTTGATAATTCATTTCAGTATATACGTGAGCTTTTGTAACTTGCAATTAACTCCTTAATTATAGGGAGTCGAGAAGTGACTTATTAGGAAACGTAAATCCATTTTGGTAGGAAAATCATTTTGTTTGGATACAGACTAATATGTAATGAATACAAGTATTATAAAGTATAGGAAGCATTTAGTCCACAACACAGACTACGTGTGACTAGTTGTGTACATAACACTCCTAAAACTTAGACCAAAACACAAATAATTTATTTGGTCCACAAAATATTCAAAATTATGATGGCAAGATAAAATTACACATCTTCAAAAGTATCTATATGAATTTCCATATCTAAAATATCTATTAATGGAACTCTGTTTGCGAAATGTTGAAGTCTTGAAGTAGTCTCGATAAACAATTGTTCTAGGATTATGTTGGAGAGATCATCTACTTGAACTATATTTTCTAAACCACATGTGTCAGTTAATAGTTAGACTTCTTCTTTAAATCATTAACGAAAGATTTCAACCACCAACCGCCACAATAAGGCGCGCCCAAAAATATGATGTGGCAATTGATGGCAGGTTTACAAAATATGATTTCCTTAGCATGCCATGTTTTTATGAGAACTTTAACGAAAAACTTCTGGTACTGTTTATTTTAACGAAAAATCATATTTTTACACTAAAAAGTCAATCATGGCACTATTCACTTTACTCTTTATTTTATCTTTATTGTTAAAACTCAAAACTTTCAAGTCATTTTCATTAGTTTTCCTTGTTTTTATTAGCATGCGATTGCGTGCAGGTGCGCCTTGAGGCAAGGAATCTCGAACGCCTTAGACACAACCAGAAAACGCACATGCTTTTCCTGTTCAGGCGTGCACAACTCCGGAAAAAGCACATGCTTTCACTGAGAAAGCATAAGGGCACTCGCACCAAATCTGAAGAGTGGGAGATGGAGTGAGTTGCAGAAGCAGACGATGTTGTGCAGGGCCGGCCCAGGCCCAGTGCGGGCATGGCGACCGTCCAAGGTCCAAAATAATTGGGGGCACCAAAATTATTAAGGTGGTATATTTTTATATGTTTTCATAAGAGTATAAATTTATAAAATTTGGTTCAATGACAAAGAAGTTTAACTAGAATTGGTGGTGATTTTGTTGTTTGAAATTAATGAGGAGGTCGTAGGTTCAAAACACCATGTGTGCTCGTGCCATCAAAAAGTTTAATTTTGTACAATTTATTACTTATACATATCAATTAAAGACTAAAAAATATCATTATTTTTTTAGTCTCATATTGACAAAGTTAGTAAATAAGAAAAAACACATCACCATTTATACAAAAACACTTAAAAGTTCATATGGAAAACAAAACTCATATCTATCTACTTGTAAACCCAGAGTTTTTTTGTTTCATTCTCACGATACAAAATAAATTAGTTTTTCCTTGTTTCTAAATTATTAAGTTTGAAGTGCTTTTCTAAGTATAATTTTATCGATACCTTACGTATGAAAACAAATAATTTTCTTATATAAAATGAGGGCACATTTTTTAACATCGTCTCGGATCTAAAAAATCTCTAAACCGACCTGATGGCAATCATGCAACTGACCGAACCAATTGAAATTGTTTGCTCCCTAAATCCGCCATGGGGCCTCGCGGGCATGTCGGAGATTTGCTCACATACGAGATTGGTGGGGTGCGGGCGTGCCACTACTAGATGCCGCTAGTAGACGGGATTTGAATGATTGAAGTTGCGCCTGAGTTTGACTTCGAACCAAGAGATTGTGCCATTGAGTGGGAGTTACTCAAATCAAGGTTCTTTCTTTGCCTTAAAAATAAGGACTTTACTTATATGGAGAAATAGAACAATATGTAAATGACAAGGTTGCTTGGAAATGTAAATGACAGAGGAAAGTGACTAATATTGCAGATTGCTTGTAATTTATATGATGGAAATGAGTACATAAAAGCTACAAATGAGATCGATACTACAAGTGAGTAGCAGAGCTAATAAACACGAAAAGCAAAGGATGCTTGGCTAAAAATAAATGTCTACAAGGAAGCTGATGAGCTAATTTGAGTAGAGTTTTGATTGGTTGTTTTGAGTGTCTTTATTCCTGGTTTCTCTTTCTTCTTATATAGACAACTCGGCTTGGCCTTCTGTAGCAGCAGCCTTGCCCGAATGCGGTTTGAGGGTGATGACTCATCAGCTATTTTACATGTAATGCCACCATAAAGTGCTTTATGGGCTGTGTAGCTGATCAGTCTACACCACTTGGCCTTTGGGTAGGTAAGCAAGTGGTCTTCATGAGCTGCACCGAGTCAGAAAAGGCATTTTCTGCCTTCTGGGCTTTGACTGGGCTTCGGCTGTCTTTCCATTCGGGCCTCCTTTTGGGCCAGCTCCTTTCTTGAGCCCAAAGTTCAAGTTTTGATCCAAACAGTGCCCCCTTCAATTAATGTTAAGGTTGGAATCCCAGGCGCCATCATTGATTGAATATCCGCATGCGTGTATCTCAATCTTTTGGAACTTCGTGTTTTCTAGACAGGATGAAGGCAACCCCGTGCCCCTCGCTCTTCTCACGACCCCTGAACTACCCTCTGGGGCTCTATAAATTCTGGCTCGGAATTTCTTCTATCAAGCCATCAAATCCTCTTCACTCTTTTCTTCCATCTTCCTCGAGCGTTTAGAATCTGAGAGATGAGTTCCTTAGGCTTTGAGTGGGGTTTCCTAAAACTCCATTTTCGTGAGAAAGAGGGCTTTCATCAAAGGACTGCTATCTCTAACACCCTTGGTCGAATACCCCGCTATCTCCAACACCCTTGGTCAGGCGGTTTCCTCTCGAAGGCTTGTCTTCCTGCTTGTTGCGGTGATAAGTCGGGCTTGACCATCACCTACAGTGATGGTCCTGTCTGAGGATCCTCTACCAGGCTCATGTTGGCCGTACAACCCGATCACCTGATCGGGTTCCATCCATGAAGACATCGGAAAATCAGCTGAAGATACCATTGCATCCAGGAGGAGAATTGATTGTAATACGTTGGCTTTGAATCTTTTTTAAATTTCATCAATTTGTCGAAATGAAATATACATTATCTCAGCAACTCTTGTCTTTCCATCTTCTTGAATGTTTGATAAATACACACTGCACATTGATATCCCGAAACTTGCTTTACCTTGCATCATCTTCAATATAACAATCTCTGACATCCCACAACGTAGGACAATATTTCTTTAAGAATTTAACGTTAATGGGATGTTTATACCTGTTTCCCTCAAGGTCCGCCAGGTAGTATCCCCCTTTATCTAAAACGTGACTAATAATGAAAGGACCTTCCTATGTCGGGCTCCATTTTCCAAAACCCCTGAGCTGAGCTCCTAGAGGGAGGATTGTCTTCCATACTAAATCCCCTTCCTTGAAAGATTTCATCCTCACCTTTTTGTTATAAGCTCGGGCAACAACTCGCTTTTCTTCTTGAATCTGGTTCAAAGCTTCAATTCGGGCGGCATCCAAATCTTCAATCCCTTGACACATGGCTTCGATATACTCTTCACTATGCAATCCAAACTGATTTTGAATTCTTACAGAACTTACATTGATTTCCACGGGGAGCACTGCATCTTGCCCGAAAGTTAAAGTATAAGGGGTTGTCCCTGTTCCTGCTCTCTTAGAAGTTCTGTATGCCCACAAAGTGTTCCCCAGATTTTCATGCCATTTTTCTGGACTATCAATCACCATCATCTTGATAATGTTGACCAGGATCTTGTTGCTGGCTTCTGCCTGACCATTTGATTGAGGATAGTACGGACTGGACTAGATCATCTTTATTTTGTACTCGCTTGCAAATTCCTCAACTTCTTTTGAAATAAAAGATGGCCCACGATCCGTTACTATGGTTTCGGGCACCTCATATCTGTGCAGAATCTTGGTCTCGATAAAATTCTTGACTGTGGCTGAGTTTATGGATTTTACTGCTGATGTTTCCACCCACTTGGTGAAGTAATCCGTTGCTACAATTACGAAGGTATGCCCTTTACTAGAAGCTGGATATATTTGCCCGATGAAGTCCATCGCCCATCCTCTGAAGGGCCAAGGCTTGACCACTGAATTTAAAGGCACCGAGGGCACATGCTGGAGAGGTCCGTGCCTCTGACATTCTTCACAACCTCGGGCATAGGACTTGCAATCTTTTTCCATGTCGGGCCAGAAATAACCATACCTCCTAAGCAACCATCTCATCTTCGTTCCATCCTGATGTGCTCCACATACTCCTTCATGTACTTAGGCCATCACCCTCATGGATTGTTCTTGGCCCAAGCATTTCAACAGTAACCCATCTGGAGTTTTTCTTAGCAAGTTCTTCGCCCATAAGACATACTTGGTTGCTTGCTGTCTATCCTTCTTGCTTGTAGGCGAAGAAGGATCCTTCAAATGATGAACGATATGTGACCTCCAATCTTCTATTTCGGCCTCTAATACCATTATATCTAGACTGAATCCCCTTTCTAAGATGGAAGGAAGGTTTCTTCTTGGATCTCGACATCTACCCCATATTTCCTCTCCTGTATTGGCACTCTTGAGGCTAGTTGTGCCATCTCGTTGGCCGCTAAGTTGGATCCTCTGGGAACATGATTGACCGATATCTCAGAATCCCAGAAACTCAATAATTGCGTAGCTGCCAAGTAATACCCCGCCATGGTAATATGTCTGCACTTGAACTCCCCATTTAACTGGTTTATTACCAACTCTGAATCCCCAAAGACCTCTACCTCTACTGCCCCCAGATCCATCAAGATTTCCAGACCAATAATTAAGGCCTCATACTCTGCCCGATTATTAGTATTTCCTTGGTAGTCCAAGAGAAATGAATAATAATGATAAACTCCCTGAGGGTTTACAATTATAATTCCCGCTCCTGAAGCCTTCTGAGTGTGGGATCCATCGAAATACAACTTCCAATGAGTGATCCAGAGACCAACTACTCTTCTTATCTCTTGCTGGACCCAGTCTTCTTTGCCCGAAATATCTTCTCTTGGCGGGATCCAAATGCTAGTAACCTCTAAGCTTCCCGGGATATTGATCACCTCACTTGGAGATTCTTGATGCTCGGTCAGGAAGTCGGCAATTGCTTGACCTTTGACTGCCCTTTAGGGTACGTACTGAAAACTGAATTCTGATAATGCTAGAATCCATTTCCCAATCCTTCCTGTGAGCATTGGCTTTGACAACATGTACTTTATCACATCTGTCTTGGCGATGATGTGCACGTGACAAGGTAACATGTAATGCCTTAATTTACTGGCAGTGAAATATAAAGCCAAGCATAATCTCTCTACCGGGGAATACCTTGTCTCTACCTCGGTCAGAATTCTACTGAGGTAGTACACTGCCTGCTCCTTCCCACCTTCATTATTTTGGGCTAGCAAATTCCCGATTGACTTTTCAGAGGCAGAAATATACAGCTTCAAGGGTTTTCCCCTTTGAGGGGGCACCAACACTGGTGGAGAAGTCAAATAGGCCTTGATGCTGTCAAAGGCCTGTTGGTGTGGTGGTCCCCATTCGAAGTTCTCTTTATCTTTTAATCTTAGTAAGGGAGTCGGCGGCTGGATCTTGCCTGCTAAATTAGCAATGAATCTTCTCAAGAAGTTAATTTTGCCCAGTAACCTCTGGAGTTGCACCTTGTTGGTGGGTGAAGGTGACTCCATTATTGCCCGAGATTTGTTCTTATCCACTTCTACACCTTTTTGATGCACTAGGAATCCCAAGAAGTTGCCTGCTCTTACTCCAAACGCACACTTCTTTGGATTCATCTTCAATTTGTGGATCCTCATCCTTGCTAATGTCTGTTTGAGATCTTCCAGATGCTGTTCTTCTGTCTTGGACTTCACCACTATGTCATCGATGTATACCTCCATACTCTGGCCAATCAGATCATGAAAGATGGCATTCATTGCCCTCTGGTAAGTTGCACCAGCGTTCTTGAGCCCGAATGGCATGACCAGATATTCATATGCCCCCACATAACCGGGACACCTAAAAGTTGTTTTATGTATATCTTCTGGAGCCATCTTTATCTGATTATACCCGGCATTCCCATCCATAAAAGATAGGACTTTATGCTTTGCTACTGCATCTATGGATAAATCGGCCATTGGCATGGGATACTCATCCTTTGGTGTAGCGCCATTAATATTTCTGTAATCCACACAACATCGTACCGCTTTTGTTACAGCTTTTAAAACGGGTACAATGTTGGCCAACCACTCCACATATTTGGCTGGTCTGATAAAGCCAGCTTTCACTAGCCTTTCAATCTCTTCTTTGACTTTTTCTTCTATCTCATTTGACATCCTCCGTGGTGCTTGCTTGACAGGTTTATATCCCTCATTGATGGGCATTCTATGTTCCACCAAGGTTGGATCTAACCCTGGCATCTCGGTATAATGCCAAGCAAAACAGTCTTTGAATTCTTGCAAAAGACAAATAATCCTTGCCCGATCATCAACCCCCAATAAACCACTGATCTGTATTGGTCTCGGATCCTCATTTGTTCCTAAATTAATAACTTCCAGAGGATCCTGGACTTTTGGTGGTGGCTTATCCGGTTCTGTACACAAAAATTCGACCAGCTCCGGGCTCTCGGGCAAGTCGTCTGGCCCGTCTAGATCATATATGCACTCGGCCATTTGAATGGCCCTATCCAGTTCTTCTCTGCAAGATTCCTTGCTTTCATGCTGGCTGGTTGAAGTTCCCACCTGCCATTCCTGCTCTTCCTTGTCCAAGAGCTCCATTTCTTGTCTTCTTCCCTTCCTATATACCAGCAGTCTTTTAATCAGGGATCTGACTGCCATTACCTGATCTCTCTTCTTTTGTTCAGTCATTGATGTTGTAGGGGATTTGGGAGGATACAAGGTCTATCCCACTTCTCTCTAGTAAGGAGCATTCCTTGTTCCAAAAGCTTTTGGGCCGTCACCTTGGTAGGGCGGCCGTTCTCGTCAGCTCCTGAACATTTCAAGATTCCTACATTGGGGTTGTAGAAACTTTCTTCCGCAACATTGGCTGTGGGGAGAAATGGTCGTGATTCGGCCTCTACCATCTCCCAAAAGCCTGGTCCTTCTGTGCCCGCTTCATGATAAACAACCACTTGTTGATGAAGAGTAGAGGGTTGGCCAAACTTTGGTGGATCCAATCTCTTCCGAGTAAAGCCCCATAAGTGGAAGTGCAGTCCACCACAAAGAATGCCAGCATTATCTGTTTAGATCCCAAATTCACTTCTAGAGGCAATATCCCATGAGTCTTGGTGATAGCGCCTGAGAAGCTAGAGACCGTGAGGTATGTGGGAATAAGATCCTCCGTGCCTCTTCCCATTTTCTTCATCTGCTTGGCTGGTAACACATTAACAGCTTCTCCTCCATCAATTAGAATTCTTTTGAAGGGCACACCTTCTAAGTGAGCTGTAACATATATGGGTTTCAGATGATTGGCCAATGAGCTGTTCGGGCGGCTAAACACCATTTCGTCTGTGTAAATCCTTAGAGGACCACCTTTGGATGCTTATGAAGATTTAGCCTTATCCGAGTTTTCTTCTTCAACTACCTCTACATTGACATGTGCCATCATTGGCTCAGTTGTCAAGTAATCACCCTCCATAGTAGCGGGTTGATTAGGTCTGGCACCAAACGTGGCGGACAACACATATGTCATGTTGATATGGAAATTACTAGGCTCGGGCGGATTTTCTTTATTGCCCCCAATCTGGTCCATAAATTCATCCAACCAGGCCATCGCATCAGCTGAAAGTAATGGTTATGGTGCCCCCTCTTGTTGCTGTTGATTCATGTCCGCATACAGTGTTTATTTTGGAACTTCACCAAAAGGATCCACCAATGGCAGAGAAGGTGGTCTCCTTTCAGATGAAATAGTTCCAGCGCAAATAGGCTCTGGCTTCCACCCAGGGGTTGGCACCATGATTAGATCTTCTTGAGCTCTCTTCAAGATCCTATACTTCCTAGGGTGTTGGCTCTGCGGCACGTGATCCCCCTTGCCTTCCGTCTTGCTGTTGGCCTTTTCCACCTCTTTCTTACTTCTCCAACGGAGCTGACTACTTCCCTCAGATGATGTTTTCTCCAACTTTTGATTTTTGGAGGCTTCGGATGTTGTGGGGGTCTTCAGGGAATTCATGTAGGCTTTATGCTGCCTTTGAACCCTCCTGACCATGGAGGCTCCCATGGGTTTGGTAGGCTGTCCGTTCTTCCCGACTACGTACCATTTTCGCCCGAGGTGGACAGGATTCCCTTTTTTAACAGGATTGGTCATGCCATCAATCCTCTTGATTTCCCTCCCCATCTGGCCACATTGAGGATGATCTGTACCCCTTCGTATTTTGGCCTCCATGTCTTCTGCTTCTTTAGAAACTTCATGGTTTCGAAATACTTCTGACAAAGCTTTGGGTTGGGAATCACCTCCTAGTCGTTGAAAAACGCTTCGGGAAGTGTCCTTTTTTGTTGCCTGCTTAATCTTTTCGCGGGCTTCTCTTCTGACGTCTTCTTCCTTTCTCCTGATCAGTTCATGATCAATGAGGATTCCAGCCGGGGGAATTTCGAGCTCACACTCGCATTGGCACTTACTACACATAACCATCCCTTTGATTATGGCTGCTTTTGGATATTTGGGCGATTTAATCACCCCTCCTGTAGGTTTTTCAGCCAATCTCTCCTCTTCTGGTTCCCTTGTAATTCTTTCTTTTCCCTTCTCAGCCCATGTCATATTGATCATATTTACAGGGGCTTCGGTGAAGGGAACTACAGGTTTGACTATCACCGACTCTTCTGGCTGGCTGGCTCTACGTCTTTTTCCTTCGGGAGGAACCAAGCCTGTATCATTTCTGGAGCTTGTGGAGGCTTTCTCCAATCTTTGTAACATTTGTAGTAACGTGGTTTGCAAATCTTCTGGCATTTTAACATATATCTTCTGATCAAATGTAGTTATCCCACTGGGCATGCCAAAACTATGTTCGCTCCCTAAATCCGCCATTGGGCCTCGCGGGCATGCCGGGGATTTGCTCACATACGAGATTGGTGGGGTGCGGGCGTGCCACTACTAGATGCCACTAGTAGACGGGATTTGAATGATTGAGGTTGCGCCTGAGTTTGACTTCGAACCAAGAGATTGTGCCATTGAGTGGGAGTTACTCAAATCAAGGTTCTTTCTTTGCCTTAAAAATAAGGACTTTACTTATATGGAGAAATAGAACAATATGTAAATGACAAGGTTGCTTGGAAATGTAAATGACAGAGGAAAGTGACTAATATTGCAGGTTGCTTGTAATTTATATGATGGAAATGAGTACATAAAAGCTACAAATGAGATCGATACTACAAGTGAGTAGCAGAGCTAATAAACAAGAAAAGCAAAGGATGCTTGGCTAAAAATAAATGTCTACAAGGAAGCTGATGAGCTAATTTGAGTAAAGTTTTGATTGGTTGTTTTGAGTGTCTTTATTCCTGGTTTCTTTTTCTTCTTATATAGACAACTCGGCTTGGCCTTCTGTAGCAGCAGCCTTGCCCGAATGCGGTTTGAGGGTGATGACTCATCAGCTATTTTACATGTAATGCCACCATAAAGTGCTTTATGGGCTGTGTAGCTGATCAGTCTACACCACTTGGCCTTTGGGTAGGTAAGCAAGTGGTCTTCATGAGCTGCACCGAGTCAGAAAAGTGTTGGAAATGTGCCCTAAAACCAATCATATGATGATACTTTACGGACATTTCGCATGTTAAACTAATCTAGTTTAACTATAAAGGGCAAAGATTATTGTTTGAGCCGTCTCATATAAATGTTATATGCTTAAACGATAAAGTCCAAGGAATATGTGATTGGAAGAATGTAATCTAATGAAGTTAGATTCATGAGACCATTCTTTCGTAGACACATCCTAAATGTTCCTGATCATAGGATTGCCAATTGGGCATTGACAGTCCGTCAAGATCGGTACGTGCTATGTCTTCTCTCAGGGAGAGTGACTAGTCTCGAGTCATTGGTGTGTGTGACATCAAGACAAGTACGTAGGTGCTCAGTAAAGAATGAGTTCACTGAACGTGATCAACGAAGAGTTCTCATACTCATGTCACATGAGAACTCATGTTTGGGATAATGCAAATTAGTCCTTTGACCTGAGGCATCACAGTTGTCTTGTGGTTAAGTCCTTGATCTTTGATTATGTCAAAGTCACCCCATCGGGGTGTCCACGGCATCGTTGGGGTTAAGCCACTTAGCCATGGAGGCAAGTGAATGCGCAACAAGGGATCTCTAACCTTCAAACTGTTTGAGGGAGAATACTCTATGATATGATTTAGAATCTCTGGCCAGAGTATGAATGAGATTTAGAAAGTCGTTCTAAATCACATTCAAGGAAATCAAATAAGCACACGAATCACATTGGATAATAGACATGAATAAATAAACTATCAAACCAAACAATGTGGTCAGAAGTATTAGATTAGAGAAAGACCGTATTGCATTTGTAATCCCAAACTGAATAGGTTTTCTCTACCTCTTCTGATTAGCTTGGGTAACCATGATATGCTGCAAGGTGTCACTCATGGTTTGTGGAAGCCCTAAACGTGTGTAATCACTAAAGGGAGAATTGAAAGTAAGTTTCAATTCACAATCGATATAAAATGGTTTTAATCGCCCACTGCCTCGCTAAAAGGAACCTAATGGATCGCACACCGTGTAAGGTGGAGATTGAAGAAACAATGGAGATGAGTAAGAATGATTAAATGGTTTAATCATTTATTTATGGCAAGGATTAATTAATATGTTAATTAATCAAACGAATAAGTTCGTTAAAGACCTCGGGATAGGTTTTGGACCTTAAGGCCCAATGGGCTTCGAACGTCAAGACCATTGACTTAAGTTGTATGACAACTTAATGAATAATGATTCACTAAAGACCCAAAAGCCCAAACAACACCCCATGGCCGGCCATTTAGAGGAAGGGTAGTGAACTTGCTTTAATTACAAGTTTGCCACTCAAATGAATAAAGGTATAAATATGACTTTATAGCCTTTTATTGATAAGGGTTTCTTTTAGAGAAAATTGGTGAGAACTTGTCTCTCCATTTTCTCTCTAGGAGGCCGGCCCCTTGGGGGGTGCATCTTGCAATCCCACTACTCCAAGGTCACTCATTTCTTCTCCAATCTCTCCTTGGTGAAGAGACTTAGAGGTTCTCAATTTTGGGAACTTGGAGAAACCTATTCTTCCATCCAAATCCATAGATTTAAGATGCAAGGAATGAAGGCCCTCTCTTTGGGTGATTAGCCTTTGCTTATGCAAAGAGGAATCTACAAAGGTACAATTTCAACTCACTTTGTTTTGAGTTGAGTTTTGGTTCACCAATCTACTAGGCTTTGAATTTCTTGGTTAATGTTTTGTTTTTAAGTGCATGCTAGCATGATTCCGCCTTTAATTGTTAATTGCATGCTTATTGATGTTGCTTAAATGAACATGTTTCCCTAAAATGTTCCTTCAAAAAGGCCCTTTCTGCCTTCTGGGCTTTGACTGGGCTTCGGCTGTCTTTCCTTTCGGGCCTCCTTTTGGGCCAGCTCCTTTCTTGAGCCCAAAGTTCAAGTTTTGATCCAAACAGAAGTACCTATATGTCCAACTGCCACAGAAGCCAGACGTAATTACCAAAAAAAAAGGGCGAACGTAAAAGCAAAGCTATATAATCCTAAAAATAGGACAGGGGGTGGGTTGGTTTCGCATTGGTTAGATCAAATTAATACAAAAATTTGGGAGTTTTTGGTTTTTAGTCCATCCATTCTCGTTCTCTCACAAGGCAACCTCCTAAACACCCTCACCTCGAGTTCGGCGAGCAAAACTCGTCTCGGCATCCTGGCGCCTAATCTTTGAACCTAACCCATAAGCGGTGGCGTTCCAGGTTGATGATTCTGCGGCGGGCCAATAATTCGAGGGTGTTCATGTTCTCGAAGCGAGCAGGGAATTTAGCAAGGAGGTGCTGAATAGGGAAGGAGGGTTTGGGTTGGGTGCGTTTATAACAGAACCATCAAGACATGCTTTTTGATCCCCTTTCAAATTTTGTTTTGAATTTTTGGGTCTATAATTTTCAAAAATGTTGATGGTTTTGTGAAAAATTTGGAATTTTGAATGTTTTAATCACTAAAAATGTTGTATTGGATTTGCTTTACAATTTTGATGGCAATATTGTATATTTTTTATTTGAATTTCTCAAGCCTTGCACGTCAACTGTTTGGGAATCAATATCGTTCACTGTTCACCCTTGTGTGTGCGTGTACGTTTTTTTATTTTTTTTTATTTTTTTTCAGGGATCGTTGCTTTGTAGGTTTTGCTATGATCTTAGTCGCACCAAGGAAGAGAGAGAGAGAGAGAGAGAGAGAGACGTAGAACAGATAGAATCAGAAAGGGAGGAGGGAGAAAGAGAAAAAAATCTCCGGTCTCTAGAATTTGATGGGAGGGTGGCAATGTATGTCGACTTCACCGTGTTTCGGGAAATCAAAATTAGGTTTTGTGGGTTCGTGGATTTTAGGGTAAATTACACCGTAACTCTTCAGGTTTGAGATTTTACACAAACTCATACAACATCTTTAAAATATTTCACTTTCATACCTCACGTTCCATTTTATTTCAAAATAATACATCTGTTACATTTTTCATCCATTAATCTGTTAAGTGCTCACGTGGCTGCCACATGGTTGTCAAATGTGTGCCACGTGGCAAAAATATTTAATTTAATTTAAAAAAAAACCTAAATCTTCTATATAAAAAAAAAGGTTAATTAACCACCCCTGTAACCCCCACCCCACCCACCCCAGTTCGTCAAAGAAGAAGAAGAATGAATAAGTAGCCCCCCAAAACCTGCAACAAGAAGAAGAAGAGGGAGAAAAAAAAAAAACCCCAGTTCGTCCACCCCCAAAACCTGCAACAAGAAGAAAATTCCACCCGAGATTAGGTGGATCTACCACTAAACCAGTCCAAAAATCATCTCAAACTCAAAAGTATTTCCAAAACTCACCCACACTGAAAATCACAAGATCCTGGCGGCGGGGGGAAAAAAGGCGGGTCGCGGGGGGAATGGAGATGGGTCGCGGGTCGCGGAGGGGTGGGGGGAAGGGATCTGGGCTTTTTTTTTTCCCCTCTTCTTCTTCTTCTTCTAGATTGCAGGTTTTTTGCGGGTGGGGGACGAACTGGGTTTAAGGTTTTTTTTTTTTTTTCTTTTTCTTTTTCTTCCTCCCTCTTGTTGTTGTTGTTGCAGGTTTTTGGGTTCTGGGTTAGGTGGGTAGTCAGAGAGGGAAGGTCTCCGCGAGGAGGGGGGGTGTCCTTTCCAGATCTCGTTTTGTGGGGGGGGGGGGACTTTTTTGCAATCCGGTTTTTTTTTTTGGGGGGGGGGGTTCTGCGTTTGGTTTTGTTATGGGGGGGACTTTTCTAGGTTTGGATATGTTGGGGGGAGGGGTTTCTTTCTGGGTGTTTTTGGTTTGGGGGGGTTCACGGGGGTTGGGGTTTTCTTTCAGCTTTTGATTTTTTTTTAAGAAGATTCAGGTTTTAAAAAAAATAATAATAAATTATTATTTTTGCCACATGGCACACATTTGGCAGCCACTTCAGCGCTTAACGGATCAATGGATGGAAAATCTAATAGAGGTATTATTTTGAAATAAAATAGTACGTGAGGTATGAAAGTGAAATGTTTTAAAGATGTTGTATAGGGTTGTAATAAACCTCAAATCTGAGGGGTTACTATGTAAGTTACCCTGGATTTTATCAATTTTTGTATTGATTAATTCTTTTTTGTTTGTTTTTTTATTAACATTTTGCAAAGCTGGCAGCCACATCAATAAAAATGTAAATTTATATTTGTCACGTTATTACTTAACTGTTAATTTGATAGATTTTATAATCGATGTAGGAAATTGAAATGAAATGATAAGTAATGTATGAAATTGAAATGTTTTAAAAATATGGTATGATGTTGCAATTGCACTCAAACCTGAAAGAGTAAAATGTAACCTACCCAAAAATATAATACATCTATTAAAATGTGAAACTTCAATCCCGGCCTCTCCTTATTATTGAATTTAGACAAAGCGAGAGCTATTCATGCATCATGCACATATGCATGGCCGGTCTAGAGATTTTTGAGGTCCGGGACGATGCCAAAAAATGTGCCTACACTTTATATAAGAAAATTATTTGTTTTCACACGTAAGACATCGATAAAATTGTACTTAGAAAAACACTTCAAACTTAATAATTTAAAAACAAGGAAAAACTAATTTATTTTGTATCGTGAGAAGGAAATAAAAAACCTCTGGGTTTACAAGTAGATAGGTATGAGTTTTGTTTTTCATCTGAACTTTTAAAGTGTTTTTGTATAAATCGTGAGATGTTTTTTCTTATTTACTAACCTTGTCAATATGGGACTAAAAAAAATAATGATATTTTTGAGTCTTTAATTGATATGTAAAAGTAATAAATTGGTACTAAATTAAACATTTTGATGACACGTTATATAATTTGCAAATTTGGTCTAAAAATTTGGTTAACGCATTACTCTTTGTGGAAGATTAGACTTGAATTGGAACAAACGTGAATCAACGCATTACTCTAGTTAAACTTCTTTGTTATTGAACCAAATTTTATAAATTTATACTCTTATGAAAACATATACAAATATATTACCCTAATAATTTTAGTGTCTTCAATTATTTTGGACCCCGGACGGTCTTCCTACCCGCACACATGATAGGTTCATGCATCGTGCGTAGATGATAGAATAGTTAGATACTTGTAAATTTCTTGCCATGATGCATCATGCATAGATGATATACTAGTTTGATACTTGTCAATTTCTTGACATAACGCATCATGCATAGATGACAGAATAGGTTAGATATTTGTAAATTTATTGGCATAACGCATCATGAAAATGCATGGCATTGGCAACCATGCAGCTGACCAAACCAACTGAAATACCCAACTGCCACAGAAGCCAGACGTAATTACCAAAAAAAGGGGCGGACGTAAAAGTAAAGCTATATAATCCTAAAAATAGGAGAGGGGGTGGATTGTTTCCGCACTGGTTAGGTTAAATTAATACAAAAATTTGGGAGCTTTTGGTTTTAATATTTTGTAATCATGCTTATGATAAAAATTATTTATATTATAAATTAAAGTCGTAAAAATTATTTTATAAAAAAATTAATAATATATAAAATCGTTCGGTGAAATAAGTCAATTCATGAAATAAGTTATTTCACCATCTAATAAAAAAAACACAAATCTATAGAAGTATTATTTATTATTGATTTGCTGCTGTTGTTTTACTAAACAACTTTAATTTAATTAAATTTTTATTCTAATGTTGATCCTTACAACTGTTTTATAATATAAGCAATTTTGATCACCTGCATAGATTCTAGTTTTTTTTATTCTAATGATGATCTTTACAACTAAAACTTACTTTTGGTCAGAACTCCACGTGACAAATTTGGAGGCCAACACATCACACCACACAAAAATGGTCCATGGTTCCATGATACAATATATAAAGGGGTGTGATATCCACACACCCATTTTTACTTCTCTCACATCTTTTTGGTTTTCGGCCGTCAGATCGGATGATTGAAAAAGATCAACGAACAGAAATTAACAAGGGGTGTGTGAGAAGTAAAAATGGGTGTATAGATAGCATAACCCTATATAAAAGGCTCTTTATACTAGCATCTCGCAAAATATTAAATGCACTTCGTATTAAAATTTAATATTAAATGATTTATTCACCTTACTATGCAATTGTAATTTTGACCTTATTAGGTTTAAAAAAATATTTTAAATACACCATAAATCACTTTTAACGTATTATTTATCTTCTTAAACTATCAAAATCCCTCCGACCCTCTATTGTTGAACAAAACCCGAACCAATGAAACTACAAACATGTTGATTGAGAAAAATTATTTTTGACAAATGAAACACGAAATAGATGTTTCAAAAGCTTCACATGAGGTAATACTTCATATTCTTTATTGTTTTAGTGATTTTGACGATATTGATAATTATTTAATCTTGTTTTTTCTGCGTTATTCAAGTTTCTATGTTTGTATTCATCTTTTAGGGATTACATGAAGAATTAAACACCTAAAATTACTACCAAATATTAAAACAGACGACATGAGTTTTAATGGTGGAATTGAAAACAACCCACATATGCTTTAAATCCTAGGTGACATCTTGTGTCAAAATTCTTGCCGGCATTTTTTGTCCAAATTAAAAGCTTTATAAGATTTGAGAAATGTGGGGTGTATAGAAATATGGAGTGAATGTAGAAAATGTAAGGTGTATATTGAGAATGTGAGGTGTGAGGGTATTATGAGGAAATATGTGGGGTGTATTAAGATAATTTTTCATTGAAATATCAAATATAAGGTGTATTAAGTACGTAAGATTTATTCAACAATCAGTGAAGTGTTAATATAATAAACCCATATAAAAAGGCCATAAAGAACTCGCTTTCTTGAAGCAACCGTGACCCCATCATCTCAGGCAAATATTGCCAAGCCGACACGTCACTAAGCTCAATTCTTTTAGAAATTTTTTATTATGACGGGAACATGGTATATCACGTGTTTTTATGTAAGTGGTGGAAAATTTTATTTTTAAGTTATAAATTTTTTAACACACATATCTCACTATTTGTATAGTGACACGTGATGTACCACCTCGTATGTCAATCACACTGAAAAATCTCTCCAATTCTTAACGTTTCAAATCGCTTAGCTCACAAGTTATTCTCGAAAGCAGAAGCAGAAGCAAAAGCAAAAGCAGAAGTACAAGCAAAAGCAAACTCTTACTCTTGTTGTTTACTTGATTATTAATAAAAGCAGCAGAGATAGTAGCTTCATACATAAAGTTTTACATAATTGGGTGCCTACAAGCTGAGAGGCAGAGAGAGAGAGAGAAAGATGGGAGCTTTGACTGCTGCTTCTGTGCTTCCTTGGGATTTCAAGCCTTCAGTCTCTCTCTCTCGTCATAGAGGCTCTTTGTTTCACTATACAAGAACTCCCAAGAAAAGAAACAGGGCCGTAGTTCCTGTAAGTTTCCTTTTACTTTTAATCATTTTATTCACAAATTCATACGAGCGACATTCAAATCTAATCTCACATGCGTAAGCGGGATTCTAATTTAGGAGCAAGGCTGACTGCCAACTTGATTACGCTCATGTCTACTTTTTGGTTTTCATTTTTTTTGTGTGGTGTGGGTTTTGATTTGATTAGGTTGCGAGGCTATTTGGGCCAGCAATATTTGAAGCATCGAAGCTGAAGGTTCTGTTTTTAGGAGTGGATGAAAAGAAGCACCCAGGGAAGCTTCCAAGAACTTACACACTCACTCATAGTGATATCACCTCAAAGCTCACTCTGGCAATTTCACAAACAATCGACAACTCTCAGGTTTTAAGAATTTTGACTAAGATTAATTTTTTTATTGATTACGTTAATGAAGAATTAATGGAAATCGGGAAGTTTGATGTTGCAGTTGCAAGGGTGGTACAGCAAGTTGCAAAGGGATGAAGTTGTTGCTCAGTGGAAGAAAGTTAAGGACAAGATGTCTCTCCATGTTCACTGTCACATAAGTGGAGGTCATTTCCTCTTAGATTTGTTTGCAAGGCTCAGATACTTCATCTTCTGCAAAGAATTACCTGTGGTAAGTCAGCAATTAATTAGTTATTAATAATTTTTATACCACTGAAATTCTAGTTCATCCCATTTTGTACGACAACTTTTTGTGTACTAGATACACAGTAGTGTATATTCTAGTTATAATATCTTTGAGTAGAATAATAATACGTGACATGAACAGTTATTTCGGTACATTAAATAATTATTGAGAGATCACACTAATGTAGCTACCCACATATTATTTATATGAATTAATTAATCGAGAATTAATTTCTCTTAATGGTTGATTAATTTGTCTCTATGATCTTTATTAAAACGTGATATTCCCTTTCCCTTGGTAGGTTTTGAAGGCCTTTGTCCATGGGGACGGCAACTTGTTCAACAGCTACCCAGAACTGCAGGACGCTATGGTATGGATCTACTTCCACTCGAGCATTCCCGAATTCAACAAGGTGGAGTGCTGGGGCCCACTAGTCGACGCAGCAGCACCTTCAAGTGGGTCATCAGGCGGTGCCCACCACCAGGAAAACAACAGCGGCGGGGAGGGGGAGGAGGCAACTTCTCCAAGCAACTGGGACTTGCCAGAGACGTGTCAAGAGGAGTGCAACTGTTGCTTCCCACAACTGACTTCGATTGCATGGTCCCAAGAGCTTCCCCGTATAAATCAAACTAGGGTTGGGACCCACCAGAGCTTTCAGGGGCAAACCCAGGAAACAAACTAAAGATTTTATTTATTTCTTTTGTTTATTTAATTAATGTAAATAGATATGTACCTATCTGTTAATACTATTGCAAAAATATTATTCTTGTCAGCTATTTGTATCATTATTTAAGTTATTTTTTCTTTAATTGGATTAAAATTTCCAACAAAGATTTTTATCAAGACCTTTAAAGCACACTATCATCAATTTGTACTGTGTTCTATAAGTATCGTTTGATATGTAGAAGGGACGAAACAGAATGAGACAGGACATGATAGAATAGGACCGGATGGAACAGAGAGGGAGCAAAGATGTCATCGGATGGAAACAAGGAGGAAGAAGAAGGAGACGGAGATGTTATAATTTTGTGTTCCACAAATGTGGAACGAGTCGTTCCCGAGGGTGAGGCAGAACGAAAATTCATCCAAAATTCGTCTTGTGGAATAGCGGTTTCCACCCGTTTTAGGTGCATCAAACGTGGGACGGAATGCCTTGTCCCACTCCGTTCCGTCCTGTCCCACGTAGCAAACGGTACCTAAGTTGATAAATATCGTACATTTTCTCCAAAAAGATTAAATACAAAAAAAAAAATCTATATTTAGATTTCTAAAAAAATGTGTAATTTCATGTACCCTCGTTTTGAACCTTAATCTATTGGGATTTGGATCCTCTCCTGAGCTAATGGAGAGGATCCTCCTAACCCATAATCGTGGGCCGTTGGATTTTTATCCAACGACTATCATTATTATAACTTTAAAGGGACCCCCCCTATTTGTAGCCGTTGGATAAAAATCCAACAGCCCAAGATGATGGGTTAGGAGGATCCTCTCCATTAGCTCAGGAGAGGATCCAAATCCAATCTATTGATACTTGTCTTTGTATTGAAATCAAAGCACATGATAGACTTGAACCACCAACACCACCACTTTAATTTCATGTAATTGGTTGGGGAAAAAATGAACCAGGCAAGATATGTGGAAATACTTTTGGAGAGTTGGCCTACAAAACCTACTTTTGGGGGTTGGTCGTCACTATAGTAGCGCCGCCTTGTGCGATCACATTTGTCCGCTCCACCTTGGCTAGAGTCATTTACAAAAAAGATGTTAAAAATGTCACATTGAAATATCATAGTAACAAATAACATACTATTTACATCATCTGAGATATCAAAGCTGACATAAAAAAAATACTTAAGCTGACATAGACAAAGAGATGTCAGATTTGAAGCTGCCTTTAAATATGATTTTTGCTATTTTCAAATGCATTTCATTTGCCTTACTTTAAATGCTAGCATATTTAAGTATTATTTTATTATTTTTAAACCAACAACAACCCAATTTTTATTATTTTTGTTTAAAAAAAATAAATGAAGCAATAAATTTTAGGAAAACTAATGAAAAGTCTAAAAAAACTTCTCTTTTAACGAAAGCCCTTTTTAAAGGTATAGTGAATAGTGCCAGTTAAAGGTAAAAATGTGGTTTTTCGTTAAAAGTGAACAGTACCGAAAGTGTTTTGTTAAAACTCCCATAAATTTGGCATATCAGGTGGAAGAAAAATATTGACAATATGTCAAATTGCTAAGTCAGCCATCAAATTAAAATTTGATGTTTTGAATTTGACATCTCCTTTAGAGATGCTCTAATCCTCCACATACATGAATCAAAAAATGGTTCCCTTCTTAGGGTGTGTAGCTTTTTTGTTGTCTTGCCGAGCGAGCGTTCTGGTCATGCTTCTACGATAGATCGCTGGATGTGGTCTTTCGCCTTTGAGCATTGAGTTATGTGCTCATCTTTCAGCGATGATTTTATGTGGTCTCACTCCTTTATGATGACTTTAAATGACCTTGCTCTTCAACATCTTCTGGAGTGTTCGCAAGTATGGATCTCTTGCGTCTATCGGTTTTGTGACAAATACGTATTGGTGGCATTTGTACGCTTGTGCATATAGTAGCCATTTAGAGATTTACTCAAATTATTTGGTCATCCAAATTCACTCAAAATCAATTTTTTGGCCATTGGAACAATTTATCCAATTGTCATTTCTGCATTTATTTGTGATGACAAAAACCAATTCTGGAATAAAAAAGCCTCCCACGTGAAATCTATGAGTTCTAGAATAGTTTAAATTAGAGTAAATTACATAGTAGCCCCTCAGGTTTGAGGTCAATTACAACCTCATACAACAACTTTAAAACATTTCACTTTCATACATCCAGTACCATTTTATTTCAAAATAACACCTCCGTTAGATTTTCCATCCATTAGTCTGTTAAATGCTGACGTGGCTGCCACATTTGTGCCACGTGGCTGCCAAATGTGTGCCACGTGGAAAAAATAATAATTTTTTATTACCCTATTGAACAAAAAAAAAAAAAACGAAACCATGTTCGTCTTCCCCACTCTCTCTCTCTCGAACCCCATACCCCTCAAAATCCCCAGATCCAAAACCCAAAATTCCCAGGTCCAAAATTCCCAGTTCTCGACCTTCAACCACCACGAGAATCTCATCCCGATTATCCACTCCCAAGCTCCCCAAACCGCCATTTTTCACCACACCCCTCCTCTCTCTCTCTCTTACCCAAGCCACTGCCATTATTCATTTCATCAACCCAAAAGACAAGAGCCACCCCCACTTCACCACTCGAACAGATGCAGCCACCCACCCACCCATTTTATCTCAATCCAAAACCAAAGCCTCTCTTAACCCACCCCAGAATCCAATAGTTTCAAGGAATTGCAGAACCTCACAATTTCAAAAACCAAAAACCCACTTCAAATTTCAATCTTCTCTCTCTTCGTCTTCTGGGTTTTTTTTTTTTTAATCAATTCTCTCTTCCTTTTCTGGGTTTTGCGGCAGAGGATGGTGGGTTTGTGCTTGACGGGAGGAATAGTGCAGGGACTCGGCATTATACATTGCCACCGCCCTCCCATTTGCTTTCGGGTAAGGATGGACAGAAAGCTTTGAGGAGTCCATATATGCCTCTGCGCCTGCAAAAAGAAAAAGTGAAGGAAGATACAGCAGCTGCCAAAGCCAAGGCAAAAGGGTTTTGCTTGTTGGGCTTTAGAAATTTGGATTTAGGGTGGGGAAAGATGGTAGAAAACCACACGGCAGCCATGCGGGGGAGGGGGCGATGGTCGTTTGGACGGGGAATGTTTTTGGAGGCGCAGTGGGGAGGGAAATGGTTGCAGGTGATAGGGGATAGGGGAAGGGGTGGGTGTTGGGGGGTGCGAGGGTGGGCACGGGTGGGGATTCTGGGGAAGGAGATCTGGTTTTGTTTTTTTTATTTTTTTTGTTCAATAGGGTAATAAAAAATTATTATTTTTTCCACGTGGCACACATTTGGCAGCCACGTGGCACAAATGTGGCAGCCACGTCAGCATTTAACAGATTAATGGATGGAAAATCTAACGGAGGTGTTATTTTGAAATAAAATGGTACTGGATGTATGAAAGTGAAATGTTTTAAAGTTGTTGTATGGGGTTGTAATTGACCTCAAACCTGAGGGGCTACTATGTAATTTACTCTTTAAATTATGTGAATATATAATATCGCAAAATTGCATTAAACATTTAAATCTGCATCTCACCTAACGTGACATAATGATTGGGAATGAATTTCAGATCCGAATTCCACACGACATGTCTTGGGTTTAATTCTTAGTCTTGATGAATCGCATGCTGGTGGCTAGGAAAAAAGTGTCATGACGAAACGACCAGCTGGTCCTTTTTTAAAAAAGAAAAGAAAACTGCATCTCATCTTTCACGAAATTGCCCTTGGACATGCTGTCGTTCGTTACAAATCACACGGTGGCGATTCAATCTAGCTTTGATTGATCGGAGCGTTGGCACAAGGTTCTGAATCTGTCGCAATTCAGAAAAGAATAAAAGAACAGAACATCTTGAATCATATGATTAATGGTCCATTAGCTTAAGACAGCTTCCCTTTGTGAATTATTAACACTAATTAATCATCTAATTATATGTATCCGATTCCACAGTGACCGAAGGGAGAGCCTATATAAATCGAACACGTCCGAAAATTTCGCACGTGAGAATGCGATTACACGAACTAGAGTGGTAAAAAAAAATCACATAATGTTCAACTAAAATGTGAAAAAAATTGTGATCCATTTACAAAGAATGTGAAATAAACTTGCACCATACCGACCCGACTTATCTCCCAGTGCAGTGTATCCTCCTCTTTAAATATACAAAGTGAGGGAGCTCCGGGAAGGTGAGAATATTCATCACAACCCCTCTCTATACATTATATATAGTAGACTACTTAAGTGGGAAAAGAGAGTAAAAAATCGAAATCCTACCGAACCCATCACTTCATCTCTCGTCTTAGTCTTCTGAGGTCGCGGCATAATCTCCTGCACATCTATGGTATCATGTCAAAAAGAAATGGCATATCATTGCCCGGTTCCCATCCTCTGGCAGTCTGAGCAACTGTGAAGGTTGCCAAGTCAGTATTGATGTTATGTACAAGGTCACCGGATAACAGTTCTTCCAAGCGATGATGCTCCAATTTCACTTTCCGTGTTCTGCAATAACAATTTCATTCATATGACGTGAGTTGCATTCCTCTCAAGCTTGAAATACGATCAAAGGTAGAGGATATGAAACGGAACAACTGGATGCAATTTATTGTCTTAGATTAAACCAATTTCAATTCACATTATAGAATGTAAGATAACGTGATTAAGGATATAGAACCCAATTATTAAGCAATGCCAGGGAAGGAAAATAATCAATACCACCAAACTACCCTGTTATTCTCTAATGACCTTACTGACTTTGCATGCAGGTGGAACATCGACAGAAAATGACTTCTCAAGGAAGCATAATCAATTATGTATCCGTTATAACATACTCTGATGACTAAACAATTAAGGAAGAGCTATTAACCAAATCATTTGCATTAAACATTCCCATCAAGTATTGAATCTTTTACCTGGGACTTGGGGGAAGGAAACACATTCCAAAATCTTAGTGTTTCATCTCCTGCTCCAGTGACAATTGTCTGAAACAACAATCAATGACAGATCAGAATATTCATAAACAAATGAAAAGTAATTTGCACAACCATAAACAGAGGGCATGTACAATAAGAAGATTGGGTACAGAACCTGTC